TATTTATTTATTTATCCAATTTTATTGTTCTTTTTAATAACCACGTTTGCCACTAAAATGAATTATTTGCACCATATTAGAAAATACAGGAATATATGGCGATTAAAATAATATTTAAATGTGTGATACAGGAGAAAAATATTGTATATATAAAAGGTAGTCATCATACTATCTTATTATAACAGGTAGAGGAAGCAGCTTGGAGAACACATGCTAGGATGGTATCGTCTTCCAGCAGAAAAAGCACGTGATATGGTGCTAATAATAATTATATCACATATTCTGCTAAAAATCACTGCGGGCAAATTTATCGTCCTCTCTTTCAAGACTTTTGGCGATGTAAGAGAAGTACATGTCTAAAAATTTCTAAAGTTATTTATTGTTATTTCCTAAAAGCTATTTATTGTTAAAACGATATTAAAAGATTAATTTTCATATGCAAATTTTAGTTTAATCTATGCATTACATCTTTATCTTTAACTTAAAAAAAAAATCAAGTCGATATCTTTAGCCGTTCTTGAGTAATCGTGGCAAAACGAGCGAAAAATGTTGTTTTGAAAAATAAACGACCGACTATTTCTATTACGGACCGACCGACTGTTCCCGTCTCCTTTGTTGTTACTTTTATATTTGTTAGCAGTGATCTTCACACGCCTATAGCCTTTGTTTCCAATATTACTATTTCTAAGTTTTCGTTATTACTGTTTATCAGTTTGTTTTAAATAAACAGTATCTACATTTCTTACATGATCGCCGCGCGCCGCCTCGTATTTTTCGCTCTCCTGAACTCAATTTTACGAATATCGAATATGCGCCAAAATGTTATTAAGGAATTGTACTAAACGATTATGTAAAAACTCAAAAATTGATTTTTTTAAAGATTTCAAACCGTTTTGGTCCCTTTAAAAGAAATTTAACACTAATTTTACTGTATAAATTACAATTTGCAATTAGAAATATTGAAAGAAAAAATATCATTATATTTATGTTGAGATTTTCTCAATTATTCTATTTCCATGTGAATTCACTTTTTCACTTTTATTTGATGTTCTACAATATCAGCCAACAACATCGCAACGACTCGGTCTTTCGGCATGTCGTTGAGACGCTGGAACTTCCTGATTAAAATAGCTAGCTGTCCGCAAATGTGCATAATGAGGAACGCGGCTAATCCGGCTACGCCGCATGTCACCGAATAGGTAATCAGTCCTGCGAAAAATTGCAGGGTGAAGACGATCTCGTATGCCAGCGAGGCCTGCTCGTCGAATTTGAAGAAGTAGCTCGGACAGGCCAGCGCTCTCACCGTGGTGTTCATCTGCATCAGCATTCGTCCTTTCGAGAGCGGCACGAGCGTACGATAAGATAATCCACAATATCCACATATACATGAAGGCGGCGGAGAGAATCACAAGCTTCCGGCCTACTTTTGCCTTGAACAACATAATTTTACGATCGTCCTAATCGGTTATATTCTGCCAAACTTTTCGCATCTGTTGCAAACAGGCTTGAACCTCCTTCGCATTGTACACGAGTAGACTGTATTTCACGCAACCTATTCAACAGTTTAGAAGTGGACCCAACAGTCTTACCTTCCGCCTTATGTCACGTTCCTTTAAGAATATCAGCAGCAAACCCGGCACCAGGATGAACGCGAATAGTAGGTAACACGAGACATTCAGTAAGCGAATTACAATTTTTTCCGCGTTAGAAGCAACTTTGGAAATTGGCCACAGGCCGATTATTCGAAGAATGACACGGGTCACTTGTATCGCGTAGTTTAAGTCATTCTCCTGTCTGCTCACCCAGGTCGCTGTCGACGAGTGTTTAGCGCTTCGATTCATTATGCGATCTTAACTTTTTCTAGATCGAGATTCTATGCGTGACTACGTAAATTGATCGCGAACTTTGCGTTTGGCTCGCTTTTTGTTTTTTTATTTTATTAGGATTTCTATTATTTTCGTTAACGGAGTTCCCGCATTTCGAGTTTAAGGATGGCAAATAATCGAGTGGTAGTAGAAGCACGAGCATGACTGAACAGATGTATATGATAATAGGTGGGCTAAAGTATAGTGTTGTGCGGTGCGCTTGCGTGCATAAAACGATTGCGCGTAATAACAGGGCATACACGAAAGGGGTTGTCAATTCGACATACCGTATTGTCTACGATAAATTCTTAGTGTCGGTGACGTGCAAGGAGAAGGATCGTGGCATCGTGCGGGAGCGTCTAAAATTGAAATCTACGATCTATGTGAATACGTGTGGTCATGTCTAGTGTACTTTGTGTTGTGTGATTTTATAGACAGAATGTTATGTAAATCAAATGCTATACAGAAAAAACATTATGATTAATCTATAACTCACATATAAATCTGGTTGTATCAACCAGATTCAATAGTAAAATACGGAATAATTAATTACGTGATTGCTACAAAATAATTACTGGCGTTGCAGCAGTGATGATATCTGGTTGTTCCAATCTGAGTGTATCCGTGATAAATGTCACCATACCGATTTCTGGTTGCCATAATCAAATTATGCGTAACTATATTGATGTAGTTGGTGTATCAAAGTTAACTGAGTCATATCAACAATACACATTATTATCACACAAAGATAATTAGGATGCAACCATGCTGTTCACTGTTAAATCCTTATGGTTATGTGCACGATATCTTTTTACGTGTACATATTATTAACAAAAATGAAACGTATTACGCTAAAAGTATCTCGTATCATCATAGATTTTATAAGACATATAACAATCGTATAAACATAAAAAAGTATACAAATACAAAGATAAATTTACGTTCATTTTCTAATATAAAAACAGAATAACAAAATAATTTGCAAATTTTTATACTTATTTATACATTGATTTATTATTTAAACAGCGCTATTTGCATCTAGACCTTCAGTCTAGATATCCTACGAATAAAGTTTATTTATTTTGTCTAAGGAACTACAGCCTTAAATGCTAGTTGTCCGTAATATATTCAAATATGCGAACGATGTTCGCATAATCTAGAAAGAACAGTAATTACACATTCAATGACAATTTAATATTTTGAGTAATTAAAATATTGAAGCTTCCCTAATGTCAACTAAATCAGATAGAAACACGTGAAATGAAAACATACTTACAATACCGAAGCTATTGAGAGACAGATCCATAAATTTTCCTGCGGTGATTTTAGTAGGTATGCTAGATATTGCGACCACTAGAACGAGACTGCGAGCAGTTTTGTAAGGAATGCGATACCAACTAAGAGTACAAGAAGTGATGTACATCTTCATGCTCTATAATCGTGTAATAATTTGATCAATATGATTTTCTTCATATTTATTGAGTGAAAATCACAGATCGATGGTACACACCTGATCAGTGAGAAGTTCACCGATGAAGCACAGTATGAAAATATTAAAAATAAATGTTAGGAGAAGTATAGTATACGTTAGCATAGACACTGCGTCGTTATTTTCCCATTCCTATAAAATACATGTTGAAAATATTTTTCTTTTGCACTTTCTTTCGCTCTGTCAACTGTATACTTGCCATTTATTTTATATATTTATTTTATATATACATTTTATGTATAATATTTGAAATATTATTATCTTACATACTATTATTATGTAGTATCCAAGAAGACACAATATGAACGTGCATCCAATTACTTCTACCAGACACATATACTGCAAAATATCTTCTACTTTGTCTAAGAAGCTAAATGACATTAATGAGAATATTTAAATTATAACAATTTTCCCTTTTTTCTCATAATAAGTACCACGCCGTGAGAATCTTTTGCGTATAATCTGATCTACGTAATCACGATAAGATATTATATTACCTCTTAATCCTTATGTGTTGTTTCACAACAGCTGCCAATTTCCTGTTGACGTCTACATTGGAGAATTGATTCATTCGCGTGAGATTCTCCATCTTAGCGATGAGAATCTTGAATTGGCCGCAAGCATGCAGTACCAGTAAAGCCGCCAGACTGCAGGCTCCGCTAGTCACTGAGTACTGCACGAAACCAGAAAGGAACTGAATGGTAAATATGATCTCGTAAGCCGGCGTCTTCTGTGGATCAATGAACACGTAGTATCCGGCGAATCCTAATGGCTTGATCGTCACGTTCTGCGGCGTGACGACGACGCCGCGTGTTATCGGGACGATAGTGCGATACGAAAACCCGCTGCCATATACGAAGGCCACACATAAGATTGCCAAGCTCCGACCGATTTTCGAATTTCCCATCATGATCCTGCGATCCTCCGTCTGGCTCACCTGAGCCCAGTCTTCTTCGATATGCTTAATGCAGTCCTTAATCTTGTTGTTTTGACAGATCAGCAGCATGTGCTTCAACACGGCCATTAGACAGTTGCACATGGGCCCGATCATTTTGAGTCGACGACGGGCGTTCGACTCTTTGAGGAATATTTTCAACATTCCCGGAATAAAAATGAAATAGAGCAGAGCCTGGCACAGCACTCTGAGCAATCTCGTCCAAACGAGCCTAAGATTGGACGGATTGACTTGTGACGGCCACACACCGATTAGATTCAAGACACCTCGTGTCACATGCACGGTGTATTTGATGTCATTGTGATGCGAGCTGTTTACACGCATGACTAGTGGATCTGTTTAATCCTAAAGCTGCTGAAGAACTGACTGAGCAGCACCGGAAAGAACTCAAACAACGGAAGAACTTGTACAGTGCGCTTGCGTCCTCGGTGTGGAAAAAATGAGGAACTGACTGCGATTATTGTTCGTGCAACTTCCCTTACAAATCGCGGGAAAGTTTGCAAACATTGAAAATACATTCGCGCTGAGGAAGGAAGCATCGTGACAGGAAGTCTAGATGGCGGGATAATAGTAAGTATGAGAGAATAGCTAGAAAATAGCAGGCACAATGAAAAGCCACAGACGGTATATCGATTGAATTGATAATGGTACACTTATCGTTCTGTGTTCGATCATCTGACTATAAGGGAGCAGGTAAGAAATATATACAGATCAGTATGGGACACGTAATGCTAATATTTTTGCAAAAGGGTTATATATAGACTTAAGATAGACGGATAAGGATTTCAAGATAATTTGTACAACATTTTTTAAATTTCGTGTGAGAATCGTCGACGATAATATATTAGTTCGTTATAGTTATTTCACTGATATACTGATAATAGGCGATGGCATAAAAATAATAGTCGGCTATTTATAGCGTAAATAAAGGATCATAAAAAATTAAACTTGTTGATGATACACATTTATGTATTTAATGAATAAAATATATTTTAACCAAAGAAATACTTTACATTGCATACATATAGCGAGCAGGCTTTGGAAAACGTTTTATCAGGATAAATTTGTCGTGCAATGAAGTGATATGCGCGAGTAATTTAGGCAAGAGTTGAATTCGACCGATCACCGAAGAGAGAAGTTTACGACATAGTAAACTCACTACTCGCTCGCCTGCACGTGTCTTTAAAGATTCAAAACGATACGCACGGAAGAAAGACTGAAAGGAGTAAAGTATGCAAGTGAAGGGGCACATCGAGGGTCACGGTTATCTTCTGTGAAAAGTATTTTTATCTTTCCATGTGCGTCAACTTTTTAAACAACTAGAAAAAAGTAAGTATATTCAACACGGTATTTTTTCCTGCATGATGACCTAAGATTGTAACTGTCACAATGTTAGTCAGGAAACAATAGTTCCGATTGCAATATTGGATATACTTCTGTTCATCGAAATTACATAATCGCTTAAAATGAATCGATAGAAACGTTATTTTTGCAAAATGTTTTGACTGGTGAATTAATTATTGAATTATACATTGCCTCACTTTTCAGGGAAAAATATAATAAAAAGAAAATTATTTATGTTATATAACGCTTGATATTTAAATATATTTATTTTAAAATTAATTAATTAATATTTATACGAAGTGACGCTATGAATCTATATCTCTACAGAAAAATTATTCAGATAAATATTTTATTGTAATACACAGAAAGTTAAATTATTTATTCCATAACCTTTCGAATAAGGTTAAGATATGTCACAGCCGTTTTAACGACCTAGAACATGATATATCTTTGTCAACTACATACATATTTCGTATTTAACAAATAGGAAGCATTTAATTTTATAATCATTTGCGTTTTGTAGAACTTTTGTACGTAACACGTTAACAATATAGTCGACAAATATAATATTATTTATAATCATAAACTAATTATCAAGTATCATTAAACATGTTACTTACATCGCCGAAGGTTTTAATAGAAAGATCAATGAACTTCCCGGCTTGAAGTTTTGTCGGGATATTCGACATGGCTATGACTAAAATCAGTTCTCGTGCTTTCTCATCAGGAAGACGGTACCAGTCTAATGTGCACGCTGTCAATGATAATTTGTCAGCCTGGTTTAACAAATTGCACACATGTAGGAGATATCGAAGTAACAGCATTCTACATATTCATCCTTTCAAAGAATATTAAACACATCAGAACTACTCTCTATCTCGACGATACGATGAACGTACCTCCAGAGAGAGTTGTTCACCGATGAAACAAAAGATAAAAATGTTGAACCCAAGTGACGTGAGTAGAATGAGATACGAGCTCATCGCTACAATATTTTGGTCCTCCCACTCCTATAAAATCAACAAAATTATGTACACTTTGTGCAGCGCATAGATATAACGAAACAAAGTGCAGATCCAAGTCGCGCGAATCGTTATCACTCTATAATCATTTAGGCGCACCGTGATAACATCGTGTCCTAGGAGACATACGATCATCGTACATCCCAACAATTCCAACAGACTCGTGTGCTCCAAAGCATTCTGCACCAATTGCAAGAAACTACAAAAGGATGCGCGCAAAATAGACTTTTGTTAGAAACTTTATCTGATCTCACATATTAGACAAAGTCACACACGTTGATGAAACGGAACGCGTTAACATGACGTATCTGTTTTATAAAAATGTTGATCGCAATTTTTTTCAAATACAAAATTTAACACAATTGACACAAATAATAAGTAACAAAAATAATAGTAGATGTATAGAATAGATGTATCGATGTATAGATACATGAAGAATAGAAATATATAAATGTTATTGATAAATGAAATGGATTATATATATTGATAAATTATATATAATAAATGAATTATATATATATTGATTATATATATTGATTATATATATTGTTTAATTATATATAACAAATGGATTATATATATATTGATAAATGAAATGGATTATATATATTGAAACTTACTTCCGCATTCTGATCTGATATTCCACGACGATGGCCAATCTCTTGCTCAAGTTCTTGATTTCCCGTTCGTTTATTAACTTGTTTATTAACATCATTAATATCTCAATCTGTGCGCACGTATGCATGACGAAGATCGCGGCGAGGCTGCAGATCGACACCGTGATGTTGTATTTTATAAATCCGGAGAAGAACTGTATGAAAAATATAATTTCGTAAGCGGGGCTAACCCGCCCGTCGAAGAAAACGAAATAACCTGGACACGGCAAATATCTAATCGTAATGTTCTGATCGGTGACGGACTTTCCCTTGCTCAGCGGCACTATCGTGCGGAAATACAAACCGGACGTGTACATGAATATACCGCACAGAATGATTAAACGCCTCGCGATTCTTGCTTTGTCGAGCATGAAATAACGAGCGCTCTCGTTGGCGACGTTTCGCCAATCGTCTTGCATTTGCATCAAGCAACTTTTCACTCGATTCGTGGTGAATACTAAGCTGCAATATTTGAGTACCGCTAATATTGTGAACATCACGGACGATATAAGCTTCAATCGAATGCGAGGACGTTTTTCGACGATAATTACGTATAAAATTGTCGGTATTAACTCGCTACAGAGAAAAAAATAACAAATTAGGATCAGCAAGATGTTCTTGACATTTTCGACAAACGAGGTTTTCGCGCCCATACGTGGCCAGATACCCAATAAACGGCAGATAAAGCGATTTAATTCAGTAGTATATTTTATATCACTCTCGTAGTTTTTATTCGCGAACATTCTCAAGCAAATTGAATGCACAATGTTAGGGTTTTATCGTACGGGACGTGATGTACGTAACAAGACGCTCGTACTAGTAAGTTGGATACTTCCTCTGATTTAGCATTACTGATCGCTGGAAGCTATCCTCTAGACTGAACATGACTCGGTACGTGGGCGCTTGCGTATCAAACGTTTGATTAGTCACATCAAATCGGTTATAATGTGTGTTTAGAATTCTATGAAGGACGCGAGCGGAAGTCTATTTATGTTCCGACGAATGGAACATCCCTCTCTTGGAAAAAAAAATAGAGATCGACGTTCAGCGAAGAACTAATATTAGCGATATGAACGCGATGTCACAAGAGTTTCTGTCTTTATATTGAAACGTTGGCAACGAGTAATTTTGCACAAAAGATGATGCAGCCATTGTTCTACAAGACAGGTATATTTAAAAAGATTATGTCGTATGCATTTACAACGCACTAAATTCTTATATTTTCTAAATACATGTTACTTCTTATTTTTTATCTTTATGTACGCGGGTTGATGTTTCCTTAATACATACGTACGGCTTACATTGCAGTTTTGACAGCTTAAGAAATGAACTTCCAATTAATTGTCTTATATATTAGGAAAAGGAGGGATAAATTAATATACAAAACCTATAATGTGCATTAACAATATCCTCATGATACAAACTAACACTGCGTGTGGAAAACAGGACAAAAGCGGAGAAGTTTGAAAGAGAAATGGAATCGATAATAGAGGGACGGGATAATTTTCCATGAAATATACCCTTACCCGTCAACGTTCATTTGTTCTTATAACAACTGGAGACACGTTTTATACTGCATTAAACAAAAAATTTTTATCGGAAATACTAAAACAATAATCTTCTGTAAAGAAAGAATACAGTGATATGATGTTATTAATCTTTGATCTTAGATAACAATTATACATAACTTGTTAAATAATATAAACTATATATCTTTGTACGAAAAACTATATATCTTTGTTGATATATAGATATATAGTGAAAAATATATATCTTTGTACGAAATGTGTGTAGGATTAAATTACAAAGAATAATTTATTTTGTGTTTCTTTAGACCGCACAAGCTTTTATATTTTATAGTATCTATTAGCGAATTATATTATTCACGCGCACTAATGTGCGATCTCAAACATGTATCTAGCTTATGTTATAATTACGAGTTATGTCAAAATTATGTTTATTTAATTGAATATCGAATTATATATCGCACCATATTGCTTCAATGTATTCAATGTATTATATGTATCTACTTACAGTAGCTAATAAAGAAAAAGCTGATTATAAAGTGCACTCACCAACTGCGCTTGCTGGAGTTAAACTTTCAAATGCTGCATGCGCAGGAAAAATCGGAAGCGACGAAGTTTGAAAGCAAAGCAAACCATCGAAGGGGCTGAGATTTCCATCCTCTATGAAATTATATTCTTACTTTATACTGTCCGTGGAGACAGTAGTGAGCAGAGAAGTGGTCGGCGTATTCAACTTTCTTGCTTCCTGTACAGTAACCAGCAATTGCTGTAATCACAAAGTATATCGCGACGTAGTTCTCGCAAAAACAGGACAACGTATGTGAATGGAATTTTTAATTTTCTCAAGATTTTAAGATCTTATCCAAAGGTAATTTTCATTTTGTAGAGTCATGAAAGATACTTAAAATCAAAATGTAATAATATGTCGTACATTAAATAAATGTATATATCATTCTGTACAAGAAATATATTTTAATTGTGAAGATATTTTTTTCTTCTATATACATTGTTATAAGTTTTAACTTGATGCATATAAATTCTCTAACTGTTTATACATAATATATTACTGATATACACGTTCGGTTTATATCATAGTTCCGATGATTTGAACTCGACAATTCACTCCATGACATTTCGAAGCATATTAAAATACGCTCCAGAAGTTTTTATGATCTAAAAATTCATTTTTATTGCTTATTATTTCATTCTGTTTTGAATAAAAGATAATATATTAAATAATATTCTCTTACATCACCAAACGTTTTGAATGATAGATCCATGATCTTGCCAGCAGAGATCTTGGTTGGAATGTTAGACATAATCATCAGCATAATAACATTGCGGGCTTTTTTATCCGGAAGACGATACCATTCGAGCTCGCGGGATTCAATTGCTACCTTTTCCGCCTATCATTAATTTATCACACACACGTAGCAACGGCCACAAAATTTGCATCTCATTTTCATTCGCTATTTCAAGAATAGTGTGAGACACAGTTTTTTTCTATATTTCTTTTTGTGTAAAGTGCAAGTTATTTATGGTGCATGATTAAGATTTCAAAGGAATTTCTATAATATTGAATACACGTTTTCCCTTGCATATAAAACTAAATTATGCTAATTGTGGAATGCTGCGTTCTGTCGTTCGAAGAGCGAATATATTAATATCTATAAAATGTACCTGTTCAGTAAGCTGTTCACCAGCGTAGCAAAAGAGAAAGATGTGAATTATCACATTTATGATGCTTAACGCGTAAGAGCCTATTACCCCTGAATTACTAGTGTCCCAATCCTATAAATATAAATATGTTCACGTAACAGGGATGTTATATCAAGCAATATAAAACATTCTTTTTGGTTATTGGATAATTTGTTGTTGATTAATTTGTACATTTGCAGTAAATTTAAAAATCATCAAGTAAATATCATAAGCATCCAGTAAAACTTCAACTTTTTTGACTAAATCTATATCGTTTCTTTTAATTCATTCATCGCTTATGCCGAAACATTTGATATGCATTCTTATTAAAATCGACTGACCGAGTTATACGAATCAATAGCATAAAATACAGCAGGAGGCAGATAGTTAGCGTATTCACCATTATTTCTAGCAAATATATTTCCTGCAGGCAATATTGTATTGACCGCAGAAAACTGAAATGTAATTACTATAGGCATGATATCAGCAATAATTATATCTCGGAAATATCCGAGAATAACATCACGAATATTTTTATTGTTAAACAAATTTCATGTTAGTTGATACGAGCCACCAAACAATAAACACCACACATCTGTAAATCGCAAACTTACCTGCGTATTCTTACTTGATGTTCAACCACTTCAGCTATCTTCTTATTTATTTCATTTTCTTCTTGACTTTGTTCCTCGACAAGACCTCTCATTAAATAGATTAGAATCTTCAGCTGACCGTTAGCATATATCTCAAAAATTGATGAGAGGCCACATGCAACCGTTGCAACCGAAACTATAAGGAAACCCGTTAAAGACTGAGCTACAAACAGTATCTCGTAAACAGGGCTCACTTGCACGTCGATGAATAAAAAATTAACAGGACAGGCCAATGGTCTGATGGTGATATTCTCACCGATGACGATCTCTCCCTGAGATAGTGGCAAGATTATTTGAAACATAAGTGCGCCAGTGTATATAAAGACTCCACAGATTGTGACTAAGAGCCTCCCTGTCTTCGCACTTTTGATCATAGTGTTTCGTTCTTTTACACTAAAGACATTTTCCCAATCCTTCTCGACGTGTTTCAAGCATTGTCTGATATGATCATTACGAGACAAGAAAATACCATATTGAATGACGGTCATGAAGACGTAGAGAAGAAGAGGGGTTATCTGAAGTCGCACACGCGATGATTCCTCCAGAAGCCAATAAATAGTGCCTGGTATACTATCACAAGCAAGAAGAACGTAGGAGGTAAAGATTAGAAAGAGATCGTAAATTTTCCAGAATATAGATCGCTTTCCACTGACAAATGGCCAAGCACCGATTGCAAGCATGATATTGCGAGTTGATTGCATAACATATACGATATCATCTCTATGTACGTTCCGCGGAATTTCTTTATGGACTTTGACAAATGTTCTGCGGTACTCACGGGCTTCGACCGTCGTGCAACCTACTGTTATTGCAAAATCTGAACCGCTCCCTCGTGGGAGCACAAAGCTGGCCGTGAAGTGAGCTTCATTGCTCTCATACGCTTGCGCGTTTTAAAGATTCAAATGCTGCGTATGTGGGATCAGGAGCAGAAAAGTTGTAAGGGAAGTTGAGTAAATCCCAAGAGACGTGATCATTTTCTATGAGAAGTATTTTTACCCGTCAGTATTCGTTATCGATCTTTACGGCAAACAAGAAAATCGTAGTGTTTAACTTTATTCCTTTCTGCTTTGTAACTCGCAATCATGACATTGACTGTAAATTAACACTTTCATTTACATTAGACGAATCACTTCTATTTGCTCAACTGCTACAAATGTCCGCGACAATTAGTCCACATAGCGAGTTTGCTTTTTAATGGATAAATATAGGTTAAAGTATAAGTTAAATAAGTTTAAACTATATATTTTTTGAGAAGTATTAAATCTTAAGCTAAATAATTCAAGGATAAATGCATTTTTTGCAGTATTTTTGTTGCTTTGTTATACACATATTTATTTTGATATTAAATATTTAATATTTATTCTGTGCAATTGCTATACTGTTTCTCAATAAAAATATTAAATATTGGATATATAATAACTGTTAATCACATACATATATATACAGATATACACACAAGTAAGAATATTAAAATTAATGTAAACTTAACGACCAAAACTTAACATATATGTTTATTAATGCCTTTGCAATAATAAATATTTAATAAAAAACTTACTTATTGTTTTATCTGCATTGTTGTATCTTTTTTCATCAACAAATCCGTCAGCCAGGTTTTCGCACATCTTTAATCAAGAAACTTTCTAAATTGAAATCTCTTTAGAACATTTAAAGTCATGATGATTAAGCGTTGTATTCAAACTATAGCACAAAGCCAGTTAGACGTTGTCAATGCTAATTCCTCTTGAATTCTCGACCAGTTTTAATCGCACGTCTTGATACAGGTGAGCCAGCGTATTGAATGATGAAAAAGCCAATTAACGTCAAATTATTCAGTAAAATGCTCAGAGTTTGTAGAAGAATGCGAAGTACAATCCATGCTCTAAGATTTATGTTGTGTAACAAATGAGAAATTTCTCTATCAACAATGATAGGATCGATGTTCCATAAAGAAGAAGTATTAGCGATGTGAACGCAATGTCATGAGAGCTCTTTTACATATTGAGTTGTTGGCAATGAATAAATTTACACAATCGATGATATAAATTGTTCATGAGAGAGGTACATTTGAGAAGACATTATGTCATATGTATTTATACTGCACTAAACTTTTATATCGCATAAATGTATTCTACTCCTTGCTTTTTCATCTGTACACAGAACGATGCTTCTTCTAGACACGTATGGTTCACGTAGCAGTTTCGACAATTAGCACTTAATAACATTCAGTCGATTACTTTTCGGAGCATATTAAAATACGCCCCGGCAGTTTTTATGGCCTAAAACATACAGTAATGCGATTTGCTTTTAATAAAAGCCTGCAAAGTGGACAACTGATTAAGTAGACATATAATAATTATACATAATATCGTGCAAGAGCCGTATAGAAAAAAGAATTTAAATTATATTATTAATATCATATCTGTAAATAAAGGAATATTTATTATATATATAGTGTACTGACATTTATCATATACAATATAATTACTGCAAAGAAAAATAGATTAACACGATAGTATGAATGATTATATGTTCTAGGAAAAATCTTCACTCGAATGTAAAGAGAAAAGAAAATTAATATCATTCAGAACATATAAAATATTAAATAAAATTGTTCGTAAATATTTATAAATAAGTGAATGCTCTAGTTTGAGTTAATTTCCTTACATCACCGAATGTTTTAAATATGAGGTCAAAAAGATTTCCAGCGGATATCTTGATTGGAATATTAGACATCATCATTAGCAGCACGACGCAACGCGCTTTTTTACCCGAAAGACGATACGATCGCAAGTTATAGTAGCCACTTTTTCCGCCAAGGTTTAATATTATAGAACATAGATGTCCACAAAGTCTGAATGCATTACATTTTCATCGATGCTACTTTGAAAAAAGTACAAAGTGTACATATATGTTGTGCTATTTTGGAGAAAAGTATTTTGTATTTAATTAAAATATACTCGTATATTTATAAGTCAGTATTATATGCATTATATGAAATAATAATTAAATGTATACTTCCACGATATGGAATTATAATTAATATCTATATAAAAAAAATAAAAATTATAAATTGCTAAAGAACTTTTGTAAAATAGATTGCAATTTATCTTTCAAAGTTGTATATCATTAGTTTTTTATCGTTGATTATATTAAATAAAAAATTACTTTTTTATATGATTGAACGTGTTAACGCCTATAAAATTTACCTGTTCGGTAAATTGTTCACCGGTGTAACAATACATAAATAAATGTAGTACTAGATTTCCAACGCATAACATATAAACGCATACCCCTGTGTTGTTACTCTGCCATTCCTATAAATATGACATTTTTGTTGGTAGAGTTTTTCATTTTTTTTTAAAACACGCGCGAATATATAAAATATATATGCTTCCTGAAAAAAATTTTTGGTAATTATCGACTTTAGGGGAGACAGCTCCAATGACCTTGATCTTGACATATATTGTAGAGGTCACCCTCCTGAGTGACAAGCAAAAGGTTTTAGCCGTCGCTCGTTGTTCGTTAAAAAGTTATTAACAAAAGAAGTTGCATAAAATGAGTATAATTTTTGGACACTGTATATACAAAAACGATACTGTGTACCATTAACAAGCAATATCGAATAATAATTGCAATATAAACATAGATTTTTAGATATTAATTAAAGAAAATTTGTGCATTATGGTAACAATTAATTATGTAACAATTTTCTTTGATTAATATATATCTTTGATTAAAAATCTATGTTGTCATTTGCTAAATGATAGAGGACTTTTTTGTTCAGTTTGACTTAATGTACAAGTATACCCTATGATCAGAAAGTACCGGGAATTTTTTATTTAAACGTACCGCGCATGCGGGAACCGGTTTATTTTTTTTTCTTATGTTGGTACGACCTTAAGACGCACATCTGTCAGGTTTTAGTGCCATCCAATCATTAGTGTCTGCCTGGCGTTTGTTTACATCAGTCAACTTTTTTCAATTTGTCGCATTTTACCATGGATAATGTTGTTGAACAAAGAGTTTGTTTGAAATTTTGTGTTGCGAACGAAATTTCGTGTGCCGATGCACTGAAAATGTTGCAAAAAGCATTTTGCGAATCTGCTCTATCAAAAACAAGAGCATACGAGTGGTATAAAGACTTTAAAAGTGGTCGTATAGTGGTGGAAGATTTGCCTCGTTCCGGACGTCCATCGACGTCGAACACCGATGAAAACGTGAAGAAAGTGAAAGAAATGGTGCTTGAAAATCGTCATACCAGCTTAAGAGAGATGTCTAGTGAACTTGGCATTGCATATGGAACGGCACAGCATATTGTGGTTGATGTTTTGGGTATGAGACGCGTGGCAGCCAGGCTCGTTCCGAAGGACCTGAATTTCGTGCAAAAACACCACCGAAAGACAGTTGCTGAAGAGATGATTTCTGAAGCCCAAAGTGATCCAACCTTCATGAAACGGATAATTACGGGCGACGAGACATGGGTCTATGAATTTGACATGGAAACAAAGCAACAATCGTCCGAGTGGCGCTTCGAAGACGAGCCGAAACCGAAAAAACCGCGTCAAAGCCGCTCAAAAGTGAAGGTGATGTTGACTGTTTTCTTCGATTGCCAAGGCGTAGTGCACTATGAGTACCTTCCACCGGGCCAGACAGTCAACAAAGAATATTATTTATCCGTTTTGAAGCGTTTGAGAGATGCTGTACGTCGCAAACGGCCGGAAATGTGGGCCGACAATTCTTGGATTTTGCATGATGATAACGCGCCATCGCACCGAGCCCGAATTGTACTGAATTATTTGACCAAACATCAAGTAAATACCATCGAGCAAGCACCGTATTCACCTGATATGGCCCCGTGCGACTTTTTTTTGTTCCCCAAGTTGAAGTTGCCACTTCGTGGAAAGAGATTTCAGTCGATCGAGGAGATCAAAGAGAATGCGACGAGGGAACTAAAGGCCATCCCTTCGTCGGCCTACCAGGGATGCATGGAGGACTGGGTCAAGCGTTGGCACATGTGTGTTGCTTCAGATGGATCATATTTTGAAGGAGATAAAATAAATTTGCCTGAAATTTAACTCTATTTTGTTTTATTTAAAAATTCCCGGTACTTTCTGATCATAGGGTACAACGGTAGACGGCGCAATTGCAGCTCATCTACCATATCGCGCATTATCATTCACCAATCTTTTTTAATTAATATCTCGACTATTATTACGAATATTGCAAAATGGTATAGAACTTTTGTGTTTATCTCAATCCGCTTTCCGTCTTCACGAGAGATTGTGAAGATGATCTGGGACACCCTGTATATCAGTGAGATAATGAAAGTACCACAAAATAGCAAACAATCCTTATTGAATTATATTTTGCTCTAAGTCTAATCTTGACATCTTAGAAAATGTTTTATATATTACTTTATGTTAAAGTACTTATTTAATAATACTTAATACTTAAATATAATATTTAATAATACTTTAATAGTACTTATTTAATAATAAAATCAACACACTGAACTTTATTTGGAAATAATCCCGATGTCTTGCAAAATATAAATAAAATTGATCATAAAATCGTTATTTACGAATTTAAATATTACAACTAACATGATCCAATGTATAGACTCATCAAATGCTAGTAGTAGATTGAACTAAAAATCATTTATGCAAATAATAGTGTTCAGCGATATGTACTTTGTCAATAATAATGTCAATAATTAATGTCAAGTTGATTTTACCTTTGGTATTACATTAGAAAAAATTAGTGAAACAATATTATCACTAACTTCCTGTAATATTCATAGAATAGCGTTTCATTGGTCGACAATTGTGTCTTACACGTGAAGTGCAGAAGTATTATATCTCAAGAATTATATCTCAAGTATTATATCTCAGAAAATACAAAGCTTGTTAAATATTATTTATATATTATAATGTATTAATCGACATGTGTATACTCAAGATTGTCATGAAGATGTGTTAATATATGATATCGTTAAATCGATTGATTACGATTTTAATTACTTGACTGGCTATATCTAAAAGCAAATTATTTGATAAGTTTGACATTGATATTTTTGTAATTATGGCGAAAGAACGTACTATGCAACGAAACAAAGATTTTTGTAGATGGTAGACTAATAAGAGACAAATTTGCAAATAAAATATAAAAATGGTATAAATGTTAACATACATATTCCCCAAGCAATTCTTCAGCTTATATTGACAAATATACCAGCTTTGCAATGTATCATTGAAGACCAAATTAACAAAACTGAAGTTATAATGTACGAATTACTGGAAAACTATAAAAATTTGAGAACAAAATTCTTGTTTAAATAAATCTAATTATCTTTCCCTAATTCTTCTCTACTTATAGAAATAAGTACATCCGCTCTTATATGAGTTACTCAATAATACGAAGCGTAAAAAAGCTCGAAGTATAATACCAATTTTATAAAAGACTTGTAGCAATTATAAAAAAATTTTATCTACATCGTTTTTTCTATCTCCAAAAAGAATAGAATAAAAAAAATATTATATATTTCACATATGAAGAATTTATAACACGAAATACATGTAAGTGACGACATCTGTTTCTATACTTAGTAAACACAAACCCCGTT